AATACTGCGACCTCGAAATGCAATTAAAGCAATAGCGTGTAGTAAGAGAAATTGAGAAATAATATTCTGAGATGTGGGGCGAAAAGTCGTTGAGAATAGCGCTGGCATAGCAAATGACGGATAGAGAGGCGAGTATGCGTATACAAAAAAAGTATAAAAGGCAGTGTTTTGGACTGCAGAGTATTTTATTTGTATCGAGTAAATTATTTGTAACGGTAGCTTATTCTGACGTGATCGCACAGCGCAGGGAAGAAAGTAGAGCTTGACAGCGGGGAATGGTAGATTGGTGTTAAGACGATCGGACATTCCATTTCTGAAATTCTCTAGGAGTATTCAATCTCCGAGAGTCTGATATGGTGACAAGAGTGAAGGGGACGGAAATGTAGATTTAGGGCATACAAACTTCAACGTGGACGCGAATGGCGACGTCGCGATAGCTTTCCATTAATGGCCGAGAGAATGCGTTTGTTGTTTAGAGTTGTTAGTGGCTAACAGAGAAGCTACACTGCGAGAAATAATGCAAAATCAATGATGGGGGTGATCGGACGACGTAATCCGACAGGAGAGAGCGGCGAAATTTGACATTTATGGTTATGTGGCAGAACGCAGAAGATTCGGCCGACTCGAGTGTCTTTGCTAATGGCGCAGGCTAGGACACCGATGTTCAGCGCCTCTGTTTTGGACGTCATTTACGATGTTATATTGACATGACTATGACATCTCTGGAAGAACCGTCACTAGATAGGACAGAATGTTATGGATTGTCAGTATTGGTAACGGAAACTTGACAGTAGAGTTGAGGTGTAAGCGGGAGGAGACCCACGAAACAATTTGGGGATACCAAGTTGTCAACAGCGCACTCAGGTGTAGCTAGTAGTGGCAAATAAATGGGTGTGGATGTTTTCAGCATGGATGGACTGGAGTCATTGGGTCACTGAACCGTATCATTGGACTGCTGGAAATGGTGTTGGTATGAAGTCTACTTGGACAGCATTTGTAGCATTCAAGAGACGTTCCATGTTGCGCAAAAGCGGACACCGACGGGAGTTATTTTAATGGAATGCATATGTGTGCGCAGTGGGTTGGGCCACCCGCGAAGAAGGGCCACGCATCTGTCGCGAGATTGGTATTGGAAGAACATTCCTGTGAAGAATTAGAGCGAATTGAATTTGGCCATCTTCAAGACGTCCCACGCTGACATCAATCCGGCATCGAATATTTGATAAGATGGGGAGAGGAACGCTGGGGGAGAGGGCCAGTTTGTAGTCACAGGAATCCTGCTGCCGACAACCTCGCAAATGGTATGGATGGATTAGTGGGGCAGCAAGGCTTAATTTAATAGGTAGGAATGTCGCAAAAGTACTTTTGGGCCATGGCAACGTCCGAGATGATGACACTTGGTGGGCTAAAGAAGGAGAGTACATCGACGATGTTAGGTTGGTAATCGCTAATCACTTTTGTACCTTGTGTAGTATGACCGTGGCATTAAAATTGGTTAATTGTTTGTGAATTAATGGTGCAGTCTTTACAGCAGTTTTTTACTGTTGTTTACTGTTCTGACGACAGCAATAAGGCGAGGTTTTAAACAGCTGAAAATTTTTATGTCACATGTAAGAATGCGATGCAGAGAGCAGTAAGAATGTGGAAGATTTTGTCAGAAGCAATTAACAAGATAAGTCAGAAAGTAATCTCGCAATTTTACTCAAAGTGTCAGGAATGTTGCCAAGACAATGATTGGCTGTGTTGGCATATTCACAAAGAAAGGTATTCTATGTGTTTAGGAAATCGATAATAAAGCCAAATGTAATTCTACGGGTACGCTTGTGTGTTTGAGACAAGGAGTGACCAGTTGATCATTTAGTGTAAAAGAACTAGTGAGTTTTCTTGTCTTAAAAACATAGAGGCAGCGTCTGTACATCAACTATTTCGGCTACTGGGTTTAGATTGGATGAATTTCAATATTTGATATATGGGCAGTGGCTTTTATACTGTATTAAGGGGGTTAGGTGTAAAAAGTTATGTGTACGTTATATGAGAGACTGGGGGAGTGTATTTGAGAGGCATTGTTTATCAAAATTGGAAATATTACAAGAAGGTCGGAAAGATTCTGTAATCGTTACTCGTGAAATAGGGTTTAGTGCTATTTGCACTTGTTACAGATTTCATTTCGGCCGTTCTTGTTAATTATCATATCAGTATACATATAAGACCTTTTTGTTATAGTTTACATTAGTTCTTTCAATCGCGATCAGCCACAAATGTATTTACACTAATCAAACAAATTCACTTCAGATCAATTTTGCAATTTTGAGTCTGGCAATATCAAGCCTGTGGGTGGTGAGAGAAGGAAATGGTTAATGAAATTTCATATAGAGTAGTTCTTCGGTTAGGCACTGAGTCAGAATAGAGGTGTTGCAGACAGGTGATAATGTGACGCAAGAAAATTGGAGCTGGTATTCTGAAGAGATAGTTAACGTAAGTGGATATTGCAAACGTTTATTTAATGCATTCACATTTCCATCTTCTTCTGCCTGAATCATCGCAGCAGAAGGTATTTTGAGGTAAGGATTAGAAAGAATTTTTAAGGATTTCATTGGTAACGGCTACCTTCATACCATTAATTAATTGGTCCCTGGATGCAGGTGCAGGTGAGGTGTCGTAATTTCGACGTCATGATCTTAGCTCTTAACTTTTTAAAGACTGCTACAGACAGCGGTTACGCAATGCGAATGTTTTGGTAATATCTGACTAATGATTTTTAGAAAAATTCTGTACAATATTATTTTGAATAGCCGAAATTTCGGTTTTGAAAGCTAGTCGTCAAAGATTGGGAGGTTCTTGTGGTTTTCTTGTTTTTCTCTTTGTTTTAAGGTTTTTAACATAGGTTGCTACTCATCATGGACGTCATTTTACATTATAACAGTGAGAAAACACTAACATTGGGAAGATTGAAACAGATTTTTTTCGAACCTTTTCACTTCTACAATGCATTACTTTTAGTACAGGAGCATTCGAGGTTATAAAGAATGAAATAAAGTAACACTGGCATAGTACAATTGTCAGATGTGACTTTTTATTTAAAGAGCTTCAGCAGCTACCTGTAAATATTTACTAATGAATATGTTGGTATATCGCAACTATATAATTTGAACGCGTAAAACTAAGAAAACGTCTTCCTAATATAAAAACGCTCTAGAATCTTTTTAGAATATAGTATAGGATTATGTTGTTAAATTTTTGAATGGCCAATCGCACGAGCTATGATAATTATTCTTTCGCGCAGATCAACTCAAAGACAGCGTTTCACTTGCCATAAGATTGGTTTTTTCATTAATACTTAGTGGGATGAACGCCAAGGATTTGATTTGAGGCTTTATCTTTTTTAATGATCAAGGCAATATTCTCAGAAAAGCTTACGCTGCTCTAATTTTTGTTTAAAGTGATTTTGCTTTCACCAAGAGAATATGAAACGTAAATAGTCGTTTCTACTATTTATGCGAATAACGAATGATCTTGAAAGCTTTTATTCCTGACTGGAAAGTCGGGGCTGTCATGAATTATTTTATGTTGCGTATCTTTGTGTGTGAGATGAGAAGTAATCACAACATAAAGTAACGTCTAAAATGGGTTAATAGGAGAATTAATGTTTAGAAAGGGTTAAGTGTAGAGAAAACACCTTTAATGTTAAAATCATAAATGTAAATTATCCATTGACAATGTATGTAACTATTTTAAATGACAGATTACATTAAAAAATTCAATTGTCATAAAGCAAGACATATTGTTTTTGTTCAGTTTATAGTTCATCATCAACAGATACAAATAAAATTTATTTTACAAGATTTATAATCTATAACTTTCGTGTCTATCTTTTCGATACTCAGTCGTTCTTTTCAAAAGTTTGAAAAGTTCAGTGTTCAAAGTTTGGATCGTTGGTCGTGTAATGAAGTGCAGGCGAGTATGTAACGGAAAATTATTAGAAAATTATCAATTCGTACGATAGTTTTGGTTGTTACAAGTATTTAATACCTCTTGGTTAAAAAAATAGTTTTAATGACCAGAAATTATAGCGTTAGAGAAAAATAGTCTGCAAATGATGTTAGGGAAGTTTAAAGGGAAGTTATTGATAAACTGTATTAGTTGTACTATGTTATTTTTCCTTTCATGCATTCAAAAAGAGTACTATTAAATGTTTAAAAACGTGCCGTAGAAGGATAATCAACGTATTTTTTGTAAATGTTTCTCGTGTTTCTGGTCACATATGATCGGATAATCCTGTTAGCATTTTCATGAAGTCTGGTGTATTTCAGACAATTATCAGAGGCAATGTAATGGATGTGTAGCATTTTTCCTACGAAAGAGGAAACACTAATGATGCTAGATTCATGGTTATATAAGACAGAGGGAGTAACTTTATAGAACTCATGCACAAACGCATGATAGTGAGCTACAAAATGTAACGGACCTTGGGGAAAACTGTATTTTAACTCTTATTTACGACCTGATCATACAAAACACCCCCAAACACACCAAGACCTCTTCACAATCCTGCAAACTCCCTCAAACTTCATCAGACTCACCAAAACTCTTCAAACTCCCCGAACATTAACTACCAACGCTAGACTCACGCAATTCGCCAACTATTCCCAGTACTGGGGAACTTCCCCAATCTCCCTGAATTCTTGACTCCCCTAGAACTCCCTCAGATCATTAGTCGGGGATCATGTCAAGAGTAAATTAATTTGGTTATTGCAATTTGCACATTTGTAAAATCCTGATAAAATACACGGAAATGAATTAATGTGTAACATAGTTAAGGTTTCACGAAATAACCATTCTTTGATCAGTAGAAAGTTGGTTTTAGTTTCCGCATGCTTCACTCTTGAGTTTCAATTTGCTCTTCGGAAAACGTTCCCCAACTGTTGCGACGGCTGGTAAAGAGCAGCGGGACTCACTGCAGCGCAGGGCGCCAGTCGTGGCAGCACGTGTCGGCCCGCGCCATGCGCCGGCCGCGCGGCGACAGCGCCCGATGCGGCGCAAGCAAGGCGGCCGGGGCGCACGCGCGCGAGCTCATTGATAACGCGCGGTCGCTCACGGACGGCGTGCCCGATGTTGCGGTCTTCTGCGGCGCCGGCCTGACGTCAGCCTCGCACGCGGGGCTCGCGAGCACGCAGGCCAACCACAGCCGCGTTGCCTTCTGGCGGACTGACACGTTGAGGCGCTGGACCTGCCCTGCAGCTTGCGCCTCGCCGGCCCGTTGCGGTCCGCCCCACGCCGCCGTGCGTCCTGGGCGGCGCCGTCGATGTTGACGCAGGCAGCAACTACTGCTGGCAGGCGTTTTCCTATACAGACCTACCTCTTGCCAAGTCGCTTTTTGTTCGGTACGCTAGTTTTCGTGAGATCTCGTTGCGGTCAGTTTTCCGAGATCAACGCTTTTCCGACCACTTCTTTATCAGACCGTTTTCGAATACGCCTTATAGTTGATTTAGACCAACAGTGCGCCTCAGTTCGATCACCTCTTCGGTCACCTTTTTCGAATCACTTTTTCATCCACCTTTCTGTCGTCTTTCGATTGACCCTTTCAGTCGCCTCTTTTGGATCATCTCTGTCGGCTCACAGCTCTTTCAATTATCTCTGTTCGGATCTAACCTGTTGTGTCGAATTACCGCTAGTCATTCGGTATTCACACCTTTCAATGTATCTCTTTCGTCACCTGTTTGATTACTGCGTCTGATGGCCGGTCTTTCGGTTACGTCTTTCGATTACCGTTCGATGCCGCCCTTTTCGATCATGTTGCGAACCCTTCTTTAAAGCCACCACTTTTCGGATCGCCTCTTTCGATTCATTCCTTCCTGTCATGTGGATTCTGTTTTATACGGGGTGGCATGTACGTTCGATCCGCTCTTCGCAGAGTGTCACTCTTTCAAATCATCCTCTTGTTGGTGCGATCACTACGGTTTCGAATATCATCGTTTCGGATCACCTGTTTCGATACACTGTTTGGTTCCGATTGGCTATCTTTCGGATTACCATAGTTCTCGGACTCTTTCAGTCCTCTTGATCATGTTTGGGAAACCCTCTCTCATCAGCTACCCTTTCGCGTCGCCTCTTTCAATGCATTTGCTTGTTCGTGGACTGCGATTTGGATAGTGTGCGCTGCTCGTTCGCGCGTGTCGCCTTTTTCGGTCAGCCTCTCTCGTTGGCATATTGCGCCGACGCCTGCGCTGCGACGACGCGCGCCGCGACGCGTGCAGCACGCGCGGCGCCGACGACTGCCGGCGCGACGCCGACCGCTGGCAGGCCGCCTGCGCGCAGCTCCACCCGCAGGTGCGCGCGCTGCCCCTCGCGCCGCTCGCCACTTCCCCTCCACACGGGGATCTTCTCTTCCTCGCGCACTGGCGGTAGCTTTCCCGCAATGGAAGGCGAGATTCGGCGCCGACTAATGCATATCGCTACCCTGCCTACCCCTCAAACCAACCGACCGTCCGTTAGCGGGTTTCCCAACCAGGTATTTCCCACTATTTCCCATTTCCCCCCAGTATTTCCCACATTTTCCCCATATTTCCCACCAATTTCTGGGGCGGTGCCCCGCCCCAGTCGGGACCAGCTCTCCCGACTGGTCTTTCTGTAGTATTGTAATATACAGCATGTAACTGTGTGTGTCAAAGGGTGAGGATAGGACAAGGGAGAGGAAGGAAAAATCGCGCACGGTCCGTGGCCCGTTTATTAGGGTATTGCTCCGGTATTCATGTGGTGTTGATCGGAGAAACCACGGAAAACTACCGATCACCAGCCGGATGCTAGAATTCTTCTCCAGACAGAGACTCAACTCGACCAAGCTACACAGTTACTGTCGAAACTCCTTCCACCGTCAAGACTGGAGCCTAGAATTCCTATATCCCCGTTCAGGACACTGCAGTGTCATCAATAGCCCCGAAAAGACGTTCGCCGTGTGTTCTATAAAACGAGAAATGCATTATGGTGATATCATTATTTATTATTATTATTATTATTATTATTATTATTATTATTATTATTATTATTATTATTATTACATGTTTACTTTATTTTTAAACTTGACCTTTTTTAAACACTTATGCGAATGATTTCGTTGTTTTTGTTTTGTGTCATATTTTATTACATAATACAAGTATTTCTGGTAGCAGTAATGTGAAATAAATTAACATCTCTCTACAAATTAACAATTCTCCCTTACGGGCTCCTTTAACAACTATCTTTTTTGTGGTAAATCTTCTAACCTGAACGTTGGAAGTTAATGCATAATTTCTTTAAAGTATTTAAATTGTGCTTGTAAGAAAACTCGATTATAGAATCAAGAAACGATCAATACAAAATTTTTAATTTTATTTTCAATCAAGAATGTTTTAAATCTAATGGATTTATTGTTGCATTTCAAAGTATAACTTATCTGCTGTAGTAGAGGAAATTTGGATTAATATAATTAAATTTGCGGCAATAACTGTCTCTTACTTGATCAAAAGTGTGCCTTGGGCCAGCCATCCAGTGCTGTATCTCAACTCCAGCGATGTTACTTTTAAATCTTGCGCCACTTGCTCTGGTTGCAGTGCCTGCAAACTCCAATAATCTAGTTATTCTGCCCGAGATCTTGACTTGTCTAGCCTAGATCGTTCCGCTTAGCTGGCAGGCCTCATCTGAGGGTCACCGTCACTTCTTCCATTTCCACCACAGTGGCAGGATTTCTGCCAACCTTGCTATTCCCGCAAGGAAACTTCTTACCACTCACATACCCGCTTGGCTTAATTTGTTTCCCTTAGCCGATACTTCTCACAGATGCTCCGCCTCAAGCTTTTGTTTCTATCACTGGGGCAGGTTGGCGCGCAGATTCACTTTCACTCGACTCAGTTCGCTCGACCTGCGTTCCCGGCTCGACTTCTCCTCCAGTGAATATACTTCCATCCCAGCTCTAGCTTAGCTCTCCTTCCGTTGGACCGCCTAAGGTAGCTTAGGACATCAACTGACGTCACCGCAGCCCCTAACTGGGATATGTTAATATTCGAGTATCGTCGGTGACAGGCGTATCGACTTTAGCTAGATAGCTAGGTGGAATTCAGCCGCTGCCTGGAGAATGCGTCTAGTGTCTGACTGTTCTGATCGGTACTTAAACGAAGTTTCTCCAATCAACACCAGGAGGATGCCGGAGAAGTCTCACGTCAAAAAAGAGCCATAGATATTTCCCTTCTCTTTCTTGTCCTATTCTCACCCCTTACTTTCACACTATCACAATTGTTGGGAGGGGACACAAGTTGGGACCTCTGTGCTCGTCGTGGCCAGGGCGGTAGTCCGGTGGTGGGAGATATCTGATTGGGAAAAACACCATTTCAAGCCGACGTATAGGTCGGCGCGGAATCGCACCATCTAGTGGAGGAAGATCACTGCGACCTCCTGGGATAAAATGCACTGCACGTACTTACTTAGCCTTTAACGCGCCAGGAAACACTAATCAGTCTATCAATCCGTTGGCTGACGACGTTCCCACCAAAGGGGCAGGTCGCATCTCAGTTACTCTTCTCCTCGCTCTCTGTCCGACACATTATCAAGTATCTTGCAGGTAGTTACGCCCTCCTCTCGCTCCACCTACTTTCTAGATGCAGGTTCCGAACAGTAGACACTTGCGGCGCGTAACAGCAACCCGACGCTTGCTCAACTGGCTCGCTCCGATCTCAGTGGCAGGTTCACTGACGCACGCACCGTTATGCCCTACGTCCTGAAGAAAAGGGCGGAGCTGCGGCGCGTGGCTCTTGGAATTTCAAAGAAAGGCGCGTTTCAACGGAATTTGTGGTGAACAAAGATATTTGCGAGAAGCATCTACATATTTATTTATCCCATCTGTCTCCATCTCATCATTACATTACTATCGTCATTCAAATACACAAGTTTCGTTCACTCACTAGTAACCCAATTGATGAGGTTTATGAAAAAGGGCACTTGAAATGCCAGATCTAAAATAATGCTTTCCAAATTATGATTGTTTAACTTAACAATGCATTTATATCGCTCGCCGCTTACACTGTAATCAAATACTTTCGGCCATTGTTCTCACTCCTACTTACTAGTAAAATCATTCATTTCAGAATATAATTTTTGTTAAATGGACCCAAAAGCCTTTTTGTCACCGTATCATTTGAATTGGGTACTTTGAAAAGCCTCCACTCGCAATGATTTGCGAAAATTAATTAAGCTAATGATTCAGTCTTTTAGCTTTGATACTTATAAAAATGCGACATATCCCCGATAGTTAATATAAAATAAGCGAGTGTATTTGTGCGTTTACTTCTAACACACAGGTTCGGGGTTTGAGTTCCGACGGTGACAGTATTTTCGACTGTAGCCAGATAGCTTGATCGAGTTCTGAAGCTGTCTGGAGGAGAATTCTAGAAGTGAGCAGCTCCGATCGGTAGTTTTCCGTGTTTTTTTCGATCAATATCAGGCAACTGTCGGAACAGTACCCTAACGGGTCACAGACCGCGCACGATCTTTCCTTCCCTTTGCTTGGCTTATCCTACCCCTTACTTGGATACACGTATACTAACAAGCAATATTATTAATTAGATCGCTGGTGAGGTAGATTCAATCTAATAATTAAATATGGTTAATTAAAAGTGTTGTCTGATAACAGTAGACAAATGTGATATCAGACAACACTTTTATTTTACCATATTTAACATACAATACTCTACCACACAGGCTGAGAGACCGGTCGGCTGCATAGAGGGTGCTAGTTCCGGCTGATGCGGTGCCCCGCTAGTGGGAGATACCTGATTGGGGAATACCGCATCAGCCAACGGTAGATCGGCACCGGATCTCGCCATTTAGAAGGGCAAGATTACCGCCAACTCACGAGAAAAAAGCATGTACTACACTTATGGAACTAATGACCTCTATTAGTTGAATCCCGGAATCAGTAGTAATCAAACAATCATCGAACCCGCCACATTCTCCTATACGTGGTGTTCCCCAAGATTGTGCGGGCATCCACTGCCAGCAGCCGCTCGAGTTGCAGCGAGAGGGGCGCGTGGGTGGCAGGGCGGCGGCGTGGCGTGTGCGCAGGTGACGGACGCCGAGGGGCGCACGGCGCTGGAGCTGGCGGCCGAGAGCGGCTACGTGGAGGCGACGCGCGAGCTGCTGCGGGCGGGCTTCGAACCCCGCGCCCCGGACGAGGCCAACCGCACGCTGGCGCTCAGAGTGGCCTCCAAGGGCCACGTCGAGGTACTCGCACGAAACTCTTTCCGCTTCGCTTACAACCGCCCTATTTCAGTTGTGTGGATTAATTATCGTGTTTGGTCACTAAAGAGAGTGTGGTTGTCGCAGATATAATTTGTAAAAAGTAGTTTCAGAGTTCATAATGATGTAAATGAAACAATTGTGAACGTCAAGATTTCTCTTTGAATGCTTTATTTAAATGCTCTTTATCTTTTCCCTTGCTTCGCATTCCTACTTTCTCACATTCGCGCTCCCTCACATTCTCACATTCGCGCTCACTCACATCTTCTCTTTCACATCCACTATCTCACCTATGTTTAGTCTCTCCCCCTCATTCACTCTCTCCCCTTCATCCATTCTCTCACTCACATAAAATCTTTCTCTCACATCCATTCTCTCAGCCACATCCTCTTTCTAACCTGCGTCCACTCTCTCAACCAGATCCATCCTCTCTACCAAATCCACTCTCTTACCCACATCCACTCTCTCACCCACATCCACTCTCACCCACATCCAATATCTTACCCACAGCCACACTCACTCACATCCACTGTCACCCACATCTATCTTCACCCATATCCTCACTCACCCACTTTCGCTCTCACCACATCCACTCTTAATCACATTCATTCTCACTCACATCCATTCTCACTCACATCCATTCTCACTCACATCCATTCTCACTCACATCC